AAAATATATATATATATATATATATATATTATCAAAATATAGACGAAAAGTATTACTAATTATACTATAGCAATGTCAAAACGAGCAAAACTCAACAGTAATTGTCATATATCTCCAATCAAGAGTTTGTGAGTTCGATCCCCCACTCTACATGTTGTACTAAAAAAAATACTATACTATAGCAATATATTTAACAAACATACAAAATAAAAATAACATAAACTATTAAAATATCACCGGAATGACTGAAAGCGATATGGTTAAATTTTAGTGCAAATATCTGGCATATACCTCCAGTCAAGAAATTGTGAAATTGTGATTTCGATCCCCCACTTCCACATGTTATATTAAAAAAAAATCACAAGTTTGGTTCAATCTTTTAATGCTGTGAACGATGAGTTTAATTAAATTTTATTTTTTTTAGTAAACATGTAGAGGTGGGGATTGAACTTACAATCTCTTAATTGGACATATATRTCAATTATCGTAGAACTATATTTGGCGAGTTTAATTAAAATTTATCTGTAATATTATCAATTAAATTATAATAAACCATTATATTTGACATTAGTTTACTTAATAAATGGTTTGATTATATATTGTTTGATATTAATTTGGTAATATATATATATATATATATATAAAAGTAAGATAACCATTTTTCTCAAAAAAAAAATGAAAATAAAAAACAATCATGTTTCGAAACTCATGAAGTTTTTTTATTACTTTATTAGAATTGTATTTTCTTTATCTACCATTAAAAAGTTTGGTTTTTTTTTTTAAATATTGTTGTAAATGAAACTTATTTTAAAAATATAGTTGTTTAATTAAAATATTAAAAATATTATAGATTTTGAAACTTATTTTAAAAATATTGTAGTTTTAAAAAACTGAAGGTTGGTCGTTATTTAGACGTGGCGCCACGTAAATTTTTTTTAAAATTTGAACGTCAAGAGACGACTATCCGATCGGTTTATTTTTGAAAAAAAATATATAAATTTTTATATTATATATTATTTAGTAGTTTTAATGTATAAAAATATTAAAGTAGTAGTATATCCACTATATTGACAGGTTTTTTACACTAAAACTACTATATAATATATAATATAAAAATTTATATATTTTGGATGGTCTCTACGTTCAAATTTTTAAAAAAAATTTACATAGTGTCATACCTTCAATTTTTTAAAACTACAATATTTTTAAAATAAATTTCAAAATCTATCCTATTTTTAATGTTTTTAATTAAATAACTATATTTTTAAAATAAGTTTCATTTACAACCATATTTAAAAAAAAAAACTTAAAAAGTTTTAAATAATTTCCTGTTTCTTTATCTACCATTAAAAAGTTTTAAATAATCTCCCGCAAAAGTCAATAATATTTTTGATATTTGATATCAAGAAACAAAAAGAAAAATACAATTAAAGAAGACCCTAGAAAAAAATAACTAAAAATCAAATAATATAAAATTGTCCTTATTTTATTCTTTTAAATGGTTGACAACTTGTCTGCATTACGGTGGAGCTAAACTAACGTGGTTTCAAATTTTAATTTAAAAAAGATATTTACTTTGATGAGAAAATGAATCTTTATATATGTTATTTAAAAAAAAAACTAGGGAAAAATATATTTTTGGTCCCTGAGATTTGAGTGGTCCCTGATTTGAGGTAAGTGTATTTGATTCATGAAATTTCAAAACGAACCTTTTGTCTAGAAGTTTGGTGTAGGTGTCTATTTAGTCCTTATGTTTCGAAATAGACATTTTTGGTCCTTAAAGTTTGAAAAATAGTTCTAAATGGTCATTTGACTTTCCATCCTTCTTCTCTTCATCTCTCTTTCTCTCTCATCTTCGATGGCGAATGGAGGCACCAAAAATGTTATTAGAACAATTAAATTCTCTTCTACCAATAGTTTCATATAATAATTTTTTCCTCGTTTTAGAGAAATAAAAAAATGATCAATAACCCTCACGCTATGTATTGGACTTAAAAAGGAAAAATGGTCGGCTGTTGTTGGTCGGAGATTGGAGAGAGAGAAAGAGAGAGGAAGAGAAGAGGGATGGAAAGCCACCTAGCGGTCAAAGGAACATTTAGAACTATTTTTCAAACTTTAAGGACCAAAAATGTTTATTTTGAAACTTAGGGACAAAATAGACACCTACATCAAACCTAAGAGACAAAAAATGTATTTTTTTCAAAAAAATTATATAATTTATTTAATAAAATTGTAAGAGTAAACATAAACGTGAGAGAGTGAGTCATTTTAATTTTATACTTTCAATTTTATCAACTTAAACCATAAGATTGTATTTTATTTCATCCATTTGAATAGTGTTACCATTAACACCTTCTCAAAACTAAATTTAAAAATTATTTAGCATCAATCAATAAACCATAAAAAATTCACCCAAAAACATTAAAAATTATGTCAAATAAATGCTAAAACTCAATTACGAAAATATTAGAATCTAGCCACAAAATCAAACAACAAAAAGTGCTCAAATTTCGAGTTCAAAGTAATGAAATTGAAAGTAGATTCACTCAATTGAAATATCATACGTGATATGTACCAATCCATAAAGATAGTCTATTATGGGACAAAATTTTTTTGTCCTTCAAATTTGAGATAGGTGTCTATTTGATCCTCAAATTTTAAAATAAACACTTTTGTCCCCGAGGTTTAAATTAGGTGTCAACTTGGTCACTAAAGTTTTCAAATGAACACTTTTGATCTCTAAAATTTGAGAAATAGTTCTAAATGGTACTTGATTTTTTTTACTGTGGTAAATTGTAATTAAATTATTTATTGTAACTGTTGACGTGGCAAATTATATTAATTAAATAATATATGTAGGAGATGGTACTTTCTCTCTCCTCTCTCTTTCTCTTACCATTTTCCCGTGACCATCACGTCTTCGCCATCGTCCGCGATTCATAGCGGACATATATCAAAAAAATCGTCTT